CCCCAAAACCCCAAAACCCCAAAACCCCATAGTTAGAATTAAGCATTTTTTAAATCTATTTAACTCTAAATTTAATCAAAATTATTTAAAATATCATAAAATATTAAAATACCAACAGCTTATTTAAGAAATCTCATTCGTCCTCATACTATTTTCATAATCAATTCAAAATATCAAAATATCATTCATAATAATTAAATTCTTTTTATTGATTATCATATTCTTTTTATTCATTATCAACTTAGTCTTCTTGTTTGGCTTTATCTTCTTAATTTTCTCCAGTAATATTATCAGCAACAGCAATTTGTTGTAAGTTTCCAGTTCCAGAATTAATATTCAATATAACCCTTTAAATATCACTTGATTCCTATTTTTTATCACTGGTTCTCTATTCTTTCTGTTCCTTTAGCATTGCCTCTATCATGACATTAGGTAAATTTGATTGATTTTAACCTATCTTATGATCTTTAATTTATTTCTTTGATTAGAACTCAAGATTCTATTATTGAATTTATTCTTCTGAATTTTCATTTTTATCGGAAACCTAATCTTGACTTTTTAGAGATTACTGAATTCCCCAGTTTTTTACATTAACATTACTTTCCTAAAGTACTTATTCTTATTTGAGAGAAATTGCTCTCTATAAATCTGAAGATGAATGAGACGCTAATCTCTATTCAAAGCCATTTATTTTTGACAGAATTTCTACATGCCTTTCCTCATTTTTTTATTCAAATTTTATCTAATTTTACTTAAGTAAATCTACCTCTTTCTTGGTATGATATATCGTATCTTAAATGAAATTGTAGTTTTTAGCTTTGAATTGATTAAAGTAGATATCAAATTATTTCTTTACAGCTGATCCAACTAATTCCTCCAAATCTTCACCTTATTTGCAACTGCATTATCTAAAGGAATCAACTTTATTTTCAAGTCTTGTTATTCTTAATTCAAATTCGTCGATTTTATTTTGTGCATTTTAATTTTGTTAGAATTGAGCTCCCATTTGTGACCTATCAAAATTTAAGTTCTAATTTTCATCATGGCTAGCAATGGGTGAAATCAACTAGTGTTATTTTTAATTTGTTTATAGGAACTCTAGACTAATGTTATCAATATTTTTTTCTCTTTCTTTTTACTAAATATTAGGATCCCTAACTAATGATTAGTTTTACTGACGAATCTAGTCAAGATTTCTTCTAAGTTCATTTTAGTCAATGTTATCAATCAATTGATTTTATGCTGGTGACTAATTAGATTTTTTATAAGCCTGTAATTTTTTTGCATTGATGAACTTTGGATAGGTTTTTCTTTCTTCCCTGTCTGTATAATCTTTTTGTTAATTAGACTATCTAGCTGAAAAATTGCTTTGAATTGATTTTGTGATTTTTGTTTTTTAAATTTAAGATTATTATATTTTATTATTGATTTACTATTAATACTGTCTATCTTAAATTTGATTGGCTGGTTTATTCTAATTTAATATTAAACATTATTGTGAAATAGAATTAATTAGAATATTTTTAATGCTGCCAGAAGTTTTAATATTTTCTAAATTTTCTAAACAAAAGCTAAATATTTATCCCATTGAGAATTCATATAATTCT